CGCCCGAGGTCAGGACACCGGCAGCTTTGGTGTCTTGTGAGAGCTGCGTCCTGGTTTATAGATGACTGTTTTTGCTGTGTTCTCACGTGGTGGGTAGAAGAAGCAAGCTCTGTTGGGAGTTTTATGAGGACACTAATCCCATTCATGAAGGCTCTACCCTCATCACCTTATCTAATCCTAATTACCTCCCAGAGACACCACCTGCCAATGGCACCACATTAGAGGGTAGGTTTTAGCCCGTGGACCCCGGGGAGGGGGGTAATTGTATTCAGTCCATAACATGGAATTCTGGAGGGGCTGGAGTTGTGTTTCCCTTCACCCGGGTCAGGCTCTCATGAAACCCCGCAGGCTGGGATCTCGCTGGCTGAGTTCTCCTGACTACAGGCCTTCGTAAGAACAGATTTCAGATGTGTCCTGATAGACTTCAGAATGGCCCCCTTTCCCTCCTTCTGCCAGAAGCACAGGGAACTTTCTCTGATACTCACTGTTGGGACCTGGTAGAGCTTTTGCAAGTAAAATTTACAAAAGTGTGAGGCCCCTGATGGCTGGGTCTGGAGGTTTTTTTAGCTCTCCGCCTTGTCCACACGGAGCCCCCAGCTGGTCAAGTACAGTTTGGGTTTCTCGACCCCAGCCCTGGTTCCCGTAGGGGTTTCTGCCCTGGTTAGGTGTGGATCTTTCTGTCTGCCTTCTCTCCAGTGTGAGGGGTGGTGGTTTGCCCTGTGACTTCACTTCTCTTACAGATTTAAAAAGAGTTGGTTTTTCAGTTTGTTCTGCTTTCACTTGGTAGGATGGAGTGGTAACTTCTAAGCTCCTTAGAAACATACGCAGGTGAACCGACAATACCAGATAGAACTAAGAGCAGAAGAGCTTAAGAATGTGGAAATTGTTCAAAAATAGATCTGTCGTGTGATTCGAGTCTCTTTGCTCTATGTCAGATGATTCTTGCTGGTTGGAGTCCAGATATTGTCTTTATTGCTCACTGAATGCTGTACGATTCACGAGATTCTGGGGGATGTAAATGGCGTGACTCTGACGCGGAGGTTTAGATGAGCCGGCCTCTTCTCAGCCACGTTTGATCTCACATAGCAGAGGCTGGCCTGCTGCTGATGTTGTAAGTTACATTAGCTTCCCCATCTCTGTCTTCTGGAATTACTTCTCTCCTGGTGTAAAACCCTCCTCCTGATGCAGGCTTATCCTTTGTTTTTCTAAAATAACCTTATTTTCTGACGATCTTGTGATTGCCACTGGTTTCCTCAGTGTTAGACAGGTTGTGTGTGTGTATGTAGCGGGAATCCTACACAGTGGGCGGTGGCGTTGTGAGTAAGCGTGTCCAAGGGCCCCTCACTGCTGATGACAGTGTGACCTGGGTGAAGCCGGCGTCCATCAGGTTTCTCCGTGGGGAAGTTCCTTTTCTTTTCCTCTGTAACTGGTAAGATACGTGTGGAGAGTTACTTTTAGACCATGAATATCCCATTTCCCCTCACACTTTCACCCAACGTTTTTAGTAAGTCTTTTTTTTTGTTTGTTTTTTTGTTTTTTTGTTTTTTTTTTGAGACGGAGTCTCGCTCTTTTGCCCAGGCTGGAGTGCAGTGGCGCGATCTCGGCTCACTGCAAGCTCCGCCTCCTGGGTTTACGCCATTCTCCTGCCTCAGCCTCCTGAGTAGCTGGGACTACAGGCGCCCGCCACCGCGCCCGGCTAATTTTTTGTATTTTTAGTAGAGACGGGGTTTCACCGTGGTCTCGATCTCCTGACCTTGTGATCCGCCCGCCTCGGCCTCCCAAAGTGCTGGGATTACAGGCGTGAGCCACTGCGCCTGGCCACGTTTTTAGTAAGTCTTGATGCTTCCTGCCTTTGTGGGCTGTGAGTGTCATGGCCATGCAATGGCACTCACCCGGGGGTTGGTTTTCACTGTCAGGAAGTGTGTCCCCTTCTTCCCTGTTCACTTGGCATCCACTGGGGCTCGAGGCCTTCTTGTTTCACTTGTTGGTCTAGGGTCTGTTCTTGCTGGAATTTATTTTGATCTTCACGTTGTTCCAGACCTCAGGCTTGGCAAGCAGGAGCCTCGTTAGCTGGCGTCTGTCCCCTGACGCATCCCCAGCCCATTACTTTCTGGACCCACAGCGTGTCCAGGCCCACCTCCTGCTTTTCCCAACCTTGTGCGGGGTCAGCTGCTCTTCCTGGCACCTAGCCCTGGGGTTTAGAAACTTGGCTGAAAGTCACTGCTCAGGTGCTTTCAGTGGGCGGGATTAGAGTGTGTGTGTGTGAATACACGCATGTGAGAGTGTATGTGTGCATATGTGTGTGTGAATGCACCCAAGTGTGTATATGTACATGCACGTGTGCATGTGTGTGAATGCACACGTGAGAGTGCATGTGTGTGCATGTGTGAATGCATGTGCATACGTGTGTGTGCATGTGAGTGTGTGAATGCACACATGTGAGTGTACGTGTGTGCGAGTGTGTAGCCGTGTGTGGAATGCACGTGTGTACATGTGTGTGCGTGTGTGAATGCACACATGTGAGTGTACATGTGTGTGGATGTGTGAATGCACATGTGTGTACATGTATGTGCATATGAATGTGAATGCACACATGTGTACATGTGTGTAGGTGTGTGTGAATACTAGCATGTGAGTGTGTGAGCGTGTGCATGTGTGACAGTGCAGGTGTGAGTGTGCGTGTGTCCGTGTGTGTGTGTATCAAGTAGTTCAAACGGACAACTGTAATTCCAGTGAAATCCACAGGGCTCTCCTTTGCCTTCCTCATCAGTATTTGTGTCTTTCCTCTCACTGTGAGAAGCCCGGCTCCCAGTCATACCAATCTTTTTCCCATCCTCTCAATCCCACAACACACACACCAGCGTCAGCATGGCTGCCCCCAGACCGTGACGAACAGCAGGCCTACTGAGTGCAACCTAAGCTTGGGTTGCGGTTTTTCTGTCTTAGCCTGAGGATGTAGTCAAAATAATATGTTCAAGAGTTATTTCTGTTTGTCGCCGTGTGTGGTGGCTCACGCCTGTAATCCTAGCACTTTGGGAGGCTGAGGTGGGCAGATCACCCAAGGTCGGGAGTTCGAGGCCAGCCTGACCAACATGGAGAAACCCCATCTCTACTAAGAATATAAAATTAGGCGGGTGTGGTGACGCATGCCTGTGACCCCAGCTACTCGGGAGGCTGAGGCAGAGAATTGCTTGAACCTGGGAGGCAGAGGTGGCAGTGAGCCAAGATTGTGCCATTGCACTCCAGCTTGGGCAACAAGAGTGAAATTCCATTTCAAAAAAAAAAAAAGTTATTTCCGTTTCTCTTTTCTTTCTGTGTGGCTATGAATAGATTGATTTCAAATTTAAGGTTTTCCTTCTAATACTGTTTTCATTTTATTTATGATTTTGTAAAGCATAACAAAGTTGGCTGGGTGCAGTGGCTCATGCCTATAATCCCAGTGCTTTGGGAGGCCAAGGCAGGAGGATCACTTGAGGCCGGGAGTTTGAGACTAGCCTGGGCAACATAGTAAGACCCTCTCTCTAGAAATTTTTTTTTTTTTTTAATTAGCCAGGTGTGGTAGTGCACACCTGTAATCCTGGCTACCTGGAAGGCTGAGGCAGGAGGATCTCTTGAGCCCCAGAGTTTGAGGCTGTAGTCAGTTATGATTGTGCCCCTGCACTCCAGCCTGAGCGACAGAGTGAGACCCTGTCTTTTATATGTGTGTATGTATATATAAAAAATGTATATGTGTGTGTATATATTTTATATGTGATATATATATGGAAGCTTTAAAACACACAACACACACACATATATATATGGAGCTTTAAAACCCCCCGAGTGGGAGATGTGGAGATATGAACAATGCAAGCAGAGTCAGATTATAAGGGCACAGTCTTGGTGAAGGTGGTATGGATATTTACAGTCAAATACTCTCCATGTTTTTGCATACTTGAATATTTTTATTATAAAATGTTAGGAAGAAAACACCTTCAGAAAGACACAAAAGTCAGACCAGGTGTGGTGGCTTCTGCCTGGAATCCCAGCACTGTGGGAGGCCGAGGCGGGTGAATGAGTCAGGAGTTCGAGACCAGCCTGGCCAACATGGTGAAACCCCATCTCTACTAAAAATACAAAAATTAGCTGGGCATGGTGGCAGGCGCCTGTAATCCCAGCTACTTGGGAGGCAGGAGAATCACTTGAACTGAGGAGGCGGAGGTTGCAGTGAACTGAGATTGCACCACTGCACTCCAGGCTGGGTGACAGAGCAAGACTCCATCTGAAAAAAAAAAAAAAAGACACAAAAGTCAAATGTGAAGAAATAGAAGTTGCTTGTGGAGTCTGTGCCTGCTTCCCTGCAATGTCCACTGGCTTCTCACTCACCCTGTGTGTTGTGATTTCATGACTGCTGTGTGCAGCACACTGGGTGGGTGTGAGCCTGGGGCCAGGGTGTCTTTGGGGCAGTCTCGCTGTGTGAGGTTGGGCCAGTGACTTAGCCTCTCTGTGCCACCATTCCCGCATCTGTAAAATGTGGCTGACAGAGCAGCCACCTCGTGGGGCCATGCGTGTTGGGTGAGTTGGCCGTGTGAAGCCTCATGGGGCCGTGCGTGTTGGGTGAGTTGGCCCGTGTGAAGCCTCGTGGGGCCGTGCGTGTTGGGTGAGTTGGCCCGTGTGAAGCCTCATGGGGCCGTGCGTGTTGGGTGAGTTGGCCCGTGTGAAGCCTCGTGGGGCCGTGCGTGTTGGGTGAGTTGGCCCGTGTGAAGTGTTCAGAACCTCTGCTGCAGGTCTGTTCACTTTCAGTTACTGCCCATTTGTTGACAGGTTTCATAAAATATTCTAGCTCTGGCCCTTATACTGTTAGGAAAATAATTCTTAGCAAGTGTAGTTTTCATTTTTATGGAGAGAAATCCCATTCACCTGAGTTCTGACCCACCAGAGGCTCAGGCTGCTGAGTGGGCAGGTGCGAGCTTGCGTGACAGGTCTCCGGTAGACTCACAGGAATGTTCGTCCTGCACTAGATTAAGATGTTTTACGAGGAGCATTTGCACTTGGACGATGAGATCCGCTACATCCTGGACGGCAGCGGGTACTTCGACGTGAGGGACAAGGAGGACAAGTGGATCCGGATCTTCATGGAGAAGGGAGACATGATAACGCTCCCCGCAGGGATCTATCACCGCTTCACCGTGGACGAAAAGGTGGGAGCGCTGTGCTTTGTCCCCAAGCCTGGCCTGTGTGGTGGCCCTGACTGCGGCATCCCTGCCGCTGAACTGCACGGCCTCCGCAGACTCTGAGTGTGGTCTCCGGGCTCGGGACTCCTCCACCTGTGCTTCAAGGAGAGTCTCTGTGGAGCCGCAGGCGGTGTCCGAGGCGACTGCTGTCCTGTGGCAGCCTCCGGGGCCCCTGCCTGCGATCCTGGTGGACAGGTGTGCGTTTCATACCCAGGTGGGGGCAGGTACAGCCGGGGCACACCCACGAGCCTGGCCCTGCCCCAGCCCGTGCTTGGTGCTGAGGCATCTGCAGGGTTGTCATGTTGCCACACTGTCACTTTTAAAAACATTTCAGTTTTGGAATTGAACAGTAACGCAGTCCAGTCAGGATTGACAATAAACGTAAATAAGGTAGTTTTGGGGTTCACTGGAGGTGACTGGGGCTAACGCTGAGATTTAAGTGTAATTTTTGAATAAATAGTAAATGCACATGGTTTAAAATTTAGAAATAAGAGAGGGGACCCGATGAAAGGTATCCCTCTGACCCGTTCCCAGCCCCCCACTTTCTCTCCTGAAAGTAACCAGTATTCCATTTAAAAAATTATTTTTAGAGTGACTTGATGTATATCCAAGTGCATGTCAGTCAGGATTCTTTTTTTTTTTTCTTTGAGACAGAGTTTCACTTTGTCGCCTAGGCTGGAGTGCAGTGGCTGGATCTCGGCTCACTGCAGCCTCTGCCTCCCAAGCTCAAGTGATTCTCCCCCCTCAGCCTCCCGAGTAGCTGGGATTACAGGGGCCCACCACCACGCCCAGCTAATTTTTGTATTTTTAGTAGAGACGGGGTTTCACCATGTTGGTCAGGCTGGTTTCGAACTCCTGACCTCAAGTGATCCACCCGCCTTGGCCTCCCAAAGTGCTGGGATTACAGGCGTGAGCCACTGCGCCCGGCCTGGTCAGGATTCTTACTATCCCCCTTTTCAAACAGGAGGCAGCAGACTCTGCCTGTGGTTCTACGTTTTACTTTTTTCTACATGATGTTCACTGGGGACGTTTCATATCAGTATCTCCCAGCCTCTAGCCCTGATTACAGCTGCACTGTACTCTGGCGCTGGACATACTCTACTGCATTTAACCATTAAGTTATTTCAGCGAGTCCTTGACCCCCAATAATGAGGACATACATTGTTCCCAATTTTTTGCTCTTGTGAACAGTGCTGTAATAAATATCCTGACATGCTTGTCATTTTGCACTTATGTGTTTTTCTGTAGGGTAAATTCCTAAAAGTGAAAACTGAATTAAAAGGCACATGCGTTTTTAGTTTGGACAGATGTCTCTGAATTGTCCTTTCCTGCCCACCAGCAACACGTGGGCCCTGATGCTAGTTCTTAAGAAAACTGTAGCCAAACGAGGTGGAGAGGAGGTGAAGGGTACATGGGGCTGGAGCCGGTGCTTTTCCTAACTGTGCGTCTCTATAGAGAGTGCGGAGGTGCGGAGTTCAACACCGAGCCTCGGCTCCAGATGCTCTTACCTGGCGCGTGAGGACAGGCAGTGCCAGCTGCACCACCTGATACAAACTTTCCTTCCGAGAATAAAATGTGGCCTAAATTGTTAAAGACACAGAATAAAAATAGCAAGGGAAGTGTTTATAGCAATTAATGTTAATAAGTTGATATGTTAATAAATAAAAGTAAGTAGAAGGCCGGCTGGTTTAATGAGATGCTGGGCATGTTTGTCTGTTTTCCAGAACTACGCGAAGGCCATGCGGCTGTTTGTGGGAGAACCGGTGTGGACAGCGTACAACCGGCCCGCTGACCATTTCGAAGCCCGCGGGCAGTACATGAAATTTCTGGCACAGACAGCCTAGCAGTGCTGCCTGGGAACTAACACGTGCCTCGTGAAGGTCCCCAGTATGATGACTGAGCAGAAAATCCACCATTTTCTCTTTGCTTTTAGAGGATAGACTTGAGGCTAGGTTATCTCTCCTTTGTAAGATTATTTGACCAGAATCTTTTGTAATGAAAGGATCTAGAAAGCAACTTGGAAGTGTAAAGAGTCACCTTCATTTTCTGTAACTCAGTCAAGACTAGTGGGTCCGTGGCCCTGTGTGTGTTCATGCATTCAGTTCAGACCTAAATGAAAGTTTCATCTCACGAAATGCAGCTCCACAGATGCTCGTCTGGACGTGATACCGTACCTGCCGTGTAAGAAGGTGCAATCATAGATAACAGCTAGCCAGACAGAAGACGCTTTTTTCTCCCAAAATTATGCCTTGGGGTGGGGAGTGGTATGGGGGAAGAGCTCGCACCTTAAGGGGCACACACTGAGTTGCTTATGCCACTTCCTTGTTCAAAATAAAGTGAATGCCTTAATCTTATGCTCATGGCTTGGAGTTACCTTATATTCAGGTATGTATGATATTTTGCCTACTTTGTTAAAATCGCCTCATTTAGATTCTTTATATAATTATTCTTATATATCAATAATTTATATATGAGCTGTGTTAGTATTTTTTCAGTGTGAGATCTCTGGATTCTTTCACAATCAAGCTGTTGAATTTTAACAAGAGTATTAGTACATAAATCTTCTGCTCAACAATTCTGAGACAGGATTATGCCTAGTTTGTTACATCATAGAAAAACCCCAAGTTAACTTCATGTTTTGGAAGGGCAGGTCATTTTTAAAGTATTTCCTTTTTTAACTGGATGAAAAATCTTCATGTCAGGATTAATTTTTTAATCACCTCCACATTGGACAGAGGAAACTCAAGCCTTAAATGTTTAAGTAAACTCTGTCTCAATTTTAGGATTAAAGTATCCACAGGTGGTGTGATGATAACATACATACCCCAGGGCTTGCTTCTGTCAAGTATGACTCTATTTTAGTAATTAAAATAAGTGCTGATCTACTGATTTTTTTTATGGATTCATTTCTAAATGGGCATTATAAATACAGCTTGTTCATTTTTAAGAATGAAACATTCATATGATAAAATACCACCTTAAATTGCCTTTCTTGCTTCATATAACTTTTCCCTGTCAGGATCCTTAGCGTTTGAAACTCCTCGTGCGGCGCTGGCTTCCTGCAGACTCCAGTTTCGCCTCCTTGGCCTCCTTGATGTGGCGCCTCGGATTTCTTCACTTCAGAGGTGTGTTTTTACAGGCAAGAGTAAGTTACTGGGTGCAGTGGCTCATGCCTGTAATCTCAGCTACTCATGAGGCTAAGGTGGGAGGATTCTTAGGGCCTGGGAGGTCGAGGCTGCGGCGAGCTGTGATCGTGCTCGCTGCGCTCCAGCCTGGGTGACAGAGCGAGGCTCTGTCTCAAAAAAAAAAAAAGAACAAGAGCTGAGGGGTATAATAGAATTATAATAGAATTCTGCTAAAGCACTAAGGCGAAATCACATTTTCTTTTCCCAGGATATTGCTCATGTCTTTCGTTTTTATTGAGGTATAATTTACATACAATAAAATGCACTCATTTTAAGTGTTTTTAAATTTTTACAAATGCAACATGACCACAGGCAGAACAACACAGGACATTTTCATCCCCCAAAAAAGGTTCTCCTGCCCCTTCTTAGTCCCGCCCACCCCATCCTAAGCCACCCGTGTGGGTGGGTTTTGGCTTTTCTAGAATTTGATGCATATAGAATCCTGCAGCATGTTCACGTTTGTGTCTGGCGTCTTGCGCTCCCGCTTCTGTTCCCTGATCCCTACACTTACACTGTCTCCTGGGTCAGGGCAGCCGCTTGTTAGTATCTTAAACACTGGAATGGTTTGAGGAGAGCTGGAGGTTGAAAAACACGAAGCGAACGGAAATGGACTGTAGTAAGAAACAGCACTCTAGGTGGGGAGAAGACCTAGGGAGGTAAAAGGCTGTTCTTCCTGAAGAAAGTAGTGGGGGTCTCTCTGTAAGCCGAATGTTAGAGAAGACAGATCCTCGGCTGGGCACAGTGGCTCACGCCTGTAACCCAACACTTTGGGAGGCCGAGGTGGGTGGATCACCTGAGGTCAGGAGTTCAAGATCAGCCTGGCCAACGTGGTGAAACCCCGTCTCTACAAACATACAAAAATTAGCTGGGCATGGTGGCGAGTGCCTGTAATCCCAGCTACTAGGGAGGCTGAGGCGGGAGAATTGCTTGAACTCAGAAGGCGGAGGTTGCAGTGAGCCAAGATCCTGCCACTGCACTCCAGCCTGGGAGACAGAGTGAGACTCTGTCTCATAAAAAAAAAAAAAAGAAGATAGATCCTTTATAAACACATTCATTAGATTCTAAATCAGGTGTTCTTTCCAAGGAGCCCAACTGTTAGTTTCCCAAGCGGGACAGCTGTTGGTTTTCACTGCGTCCAAGTTCGTCACTTTAGAGCGGGCTCTGCCTGCTTGCTGAGTAAGAGATTCCTGGACATACGTTATTTTTCAAATGTGCCCTCTTTTTACAGGCACAGATGTATGTATTGCCATGGGGTTTATGACTGGGATATTAATAAATCAGTATGAATTACTGCACTTGGGTATGGCTTCAAGCTGGTTAATGTGTTGGCATTTTCAAGACACTTCGATTTTTCCTTGCTGTCCTCCTACTTAAGGTAGATACTGCACTGCAGACAACGCAGGCAACCCGATGAGAGGCCCGCCCAGGGCGGGGCTTCACCCTTGTTTCTAAGGAGTAGGTGGATCATCCAGGAAATGTCCAGCCTTGTTCTGTCTTGCTCCCGATTCAACATCTTATCCCAGTGAAGACCCAGCCCCAGGATACTTGCCCGGCTTGGAGCAGCTGTTAAAGGCCTCGTCATTCCTGTGGTGGTTCATTTCCCTATTTGGTTTCTGTCCTCACTTCCAAAAAGTGAAGAGGATCCTCTTGTTTCGGATGTTTTATTTCTCTTCTTGCCATCCATTTCTTCATCTTGTTAACTAAAAGATGACATGATCTATAAATTTAGAAAACGAGACAGTTTCTTTTTCTTTTCTTTATTTTTTGGAGATGGAGTTTTGCTCTTGTCTCCCAGGCTGGAGTGCAGGGGCGTGATCTTGGCTCACTGCAACCTCTGCCTCCTGGGTTCAAGCGATTCTCCTGTCTCAGCCTCCCGAGCAGCTGGGATTATAGGCACGTACCACCACGCCCAGCTAATTTTTTTTGTATTTTTAGTAGAGATGGGGTTTCACCATGTTGCCAGGCTGGTCTTGGACTCCTGACCTCAGGTGATCCGTCAGCCTTGGCCTCCCAAAGTGCTGGGATTTCAGGCATGAGCCACCATGCCCGGCCTAAAGACATTATTTCTTGTAAAGAGTTACAGTCTGCAAGGTGGCATCCCGCAGGCTGGGAAGCACAGTCTCGCGCAGAGACCAGAGACAGGCACCTTGGAGGAGAAGGGGTTGGGGCAGGAGCTTTATGCTGAACGGGTTGGAGGATCATACATATTCAACAGGTTACAGGAGGAGCTGTGAATATTCATAAAGGTGGTCCTGACGCATGCGTATTGAACAAACATCCACGTAACATACAACTCACGTTCACCTTAGAGAGGAGACTTAACATCTAAATGCGTCGCAGGCAGGCTCTGCGCTTCTGAAGTTGAAACAGGGACATGAAGGCTCCCAGTGCTCAGCCTCTGTCAGCTGGCCAGAGCCCATCCATGGGCTTATTCTTGTCCAGAGGAAGTTACTGAAATCAGTCTCTTTTTCCATCAAAGCTGTAGTTACGGCTGGTGGAACGGGGCCAGTTAGGCAGCATCGGGTGGGGGGCAAACTACAAATTGTTTCCATCTTGCTCATCTCGAGGCCGTCGCTGGTTTAGCTGCTGGAGAAGAAAACCCTCGTGGTGGCGAGGACGGTTTCTTATTTAAGTGTAGGGTGAGACTTCACTCTAGCCTGGCTGAGCCTTAGGTCCTGTGTGTGATTTGCGTCTTATTGCCACAGTCTGTTCTGTGGTCTCGCCGTCTCTCTTTTAACACGAATGCTGGCCAGTGGTGGCTAAACCCCAAAGGGAGGGGTGTGAAGCGTGTCTGACCTCCCATCCCGTCGTGCCTGGGAACTCATTTTTTAAGGTTTCTCTGGGGTCTCCTTGGCCAACGGGGTCCATTCAGTTAATTGGGGGGCTTAAGATTTTACCTTAAATTTGCGATCCTTACCATTCAAGTGTAGAAGGAAGACTGGGGAGCCCGGTGAGAGGCTCTGCTGGCCTCTGAGCAGCGGCTGTCAGCGGATGCCCCTCCTTAGCCAGGGCGCCAGTGATGGGCTGTGTGTGTGAGCTGATTAAAAATGATGATGAAGAGGCCTCCACTATTAGCCAGGGCGCCAGTGATGGGCTGTGTGTGTGAGCTGATTAAAAATGACGATGAAGAGGCCTCCACTATTAGCCAGGGCGCCAGTGATGGGCTCTGTGTGTGAGCTGATTAAAAATGACGAACAAGAGGCCTCCACTGTCAGCTCATGACCCTGAACTCTTCATTTTAAAAAAGCCTAAATTGACCTGTTACAGAAGGGAAGGATGAAGAGAGACTCCTCATCAGACTGGAACTAGGTGGAGGCAGGGAGGAGCTAGGCTTACAGTGACTGCGTAGCTCGGTTCATGTCCTGTAGTCCCCATTTCTGACATTCTATCCTCTGGCCGTATATGTAGACCACGTATTCTAATTTTTGATTAGAAAAATATAGCTACTAAATTCAATTCTTGCATCAAAATTGTATTTTAAAATATAAGCATGTTTAATATTGGTCCTACAGAATGAGCTGGTTGCTTTGTTTGTACACAGAGCTCACATTAAGCCTCACATCCAATCGTGGCTTGCATCCACTGCGATGGGCAGATTCTTCCTAGGGGCCTCCCCTGGCTGTCTCTCACCGTGGACGCCACCGCTGTCTCCCGCCCACCCCACTGCGACCTGGCTTTCAGCATCCCCCACTCTCCTTCCAGCCCAGCACAAGCTCAGGACGCCGGATGTCCACACTGCCCAAGCTGCTGTGTTTCACCCAAGACTTTGGAGGAAATATTCGTTCTTAAATTTGTGTCAATAAGCCAGACAGCTTTCCAGCTTCCTTAGAAGCAGTTATCCTGTGGAGAGTGGACTTCATTCTTTACCTCCTTAAATTAAGATGAACAGTAGAAAGGCAAACCGGGCTGCAGTGGGCACCTGACTGCACAGAGCGGCTGCTGATGTGCCGATGTGCAGATTAAACCCAATCCAAGGCGGAGGGGGTCTCGCTTCTGTGCTCACATCCTCATGCATGTACAGGTTGGGCTTGTGTGCCTGCGTGTGTGCCTGTGCTTCTGTGAGCTCTCCAGAGAGCCTGTAGAGGTTGGTGGTTATGAACTGTGGGATGTAAACGAGCCACTGTGGGCTCCATGACCTTTCTTTCTTTCTTTTTTTTTTTTTTGAGACGGAGTCTCGCTCTGTCGCCCGGGCTGGAGTGCAGTGGCCGGATCTCAGCTCACTGCAAGCTCCGCCTCCCGGGTTCCCGCCATTCTCCTGCCTCAGCCTCCCGAGTAGCTGGGACTACAGGCGCCGCCACCTCGCCCGGCTAGTTTTTTTTGTATTTTTTAGTAGAGACGGGGTTTCACCGTGTTAGCCAGGATGGTCTCGATCTCCTGACCTCGTGATCCACCCGTCTCGGCCTCCCAAAGTGCTGGGATTACAGGCGTGAGCCACCGCGCCCGGCCAGGCTCCATGACCTTTCTTTCCCTGTCTGCCCCCCAAGGAGGGGCGTGTGACGTAACCACTGCAGACGTTTTGCTGCGTGTTCACGAGGAGATCGTCTGGTCCGTTGATGGAGGTGTTTTCCCTAGTTATGTGGTGAAGTTGGCAGCTTCAGACGTTTCGTTCTCAGGATGCAGCTCTGACAACTAAGATGGGCTCCCCTGCCTCAGCCGGGCTCCTCAGTTTCCCCAGAGTGAGGCCTCTGTTGGTCGATCGTGTTACTGGGTGGCTGTGAGTTACGCAACTCACGAAAACATCTCATCCGGATGGGCGTGGGGTGGGAGGGCCACCCCAGGAGCTGTGAGTAACTTCCCAGCGTGCCGGCTTCTTGCGCCTTCCCAGAGCCTGGTGTGCGGTACCCCAGGTGGGCGGGTGGATGACTGGAATCTGGTTCTAGTCACACAGACCCAGAATGCGACATTTAGATGTGATCTGAAAACAGCCATTTTTCCGAAAGCTGTTTACTGTTGGAAAGTGTATCAAGCAGCAGTTTCTGGAGACCTGTAATTGTTTTATGATTTATGCAGTGAAAAGTTTATTACAAAAAGGATGGGCGCGGCGGCTCACGCCTGTAATCCCAGCACTTCAGGAGGCCGAGGCGGGAGGATCACTTGAGGTCACGAGTTTGAGACCAGCCTGGCCAACATGGTGAAACCCCATCTCTACTAAAAATACAAAAATCAGCGGAGCGTTGTGGTAGGCACCTGTGGTCCCAGCTACTGTGGTGCTGAGGTGGGAGGATAACTTGAGCCCGAGAGGCATGACAGGTGTGTATAGGGGCTGAGCAGCAGGTACTTTCTGAATCTCAAGGGAAGACCTGCAGCCTGTGAGCACTTCATGGGCCACAGACGGAGCGCCTGTTGTCATCCGCATGGGAGAAGTCTAGGGATGTGGCTGTGCTGAGGCCAGCGGCCTGCGGGTGCACGGCCAGTGAGCGGGACTCTTTCCAGCAACACCTTCAGGAGACTCTTTGGTGGTTTCTTTTCTCCCTCATGTTCTGATAAAGATGACGCGGGGATGTGCCATGCATCCCATATCTGAGAAATGCTCGCCTCCTGTGTGCCGGACACTGGGCCATGTGCTGGTGGACGGACAGGGCGGCGGAGCCAGTTTATCCTGAAAGTCCTTTGCACACATCTCTTATTACATGTGTGTCAAGACTGAAAATAAAGTATGGAACCAGGGTGTCACAGATGGGGGTCACAGACACACAGCAGATACAGCATGGCGCTCCCAGCAGTGATGCGGGAGAGCATGTACAGTCCCCGGACGCAGCCTGTGCGCAGCAAGAAATTCATTAGGGGATCTCTGGCCCCAGGTGCCACCCGGGAGCGTGCGTGTGCAAGGCCACCTGACCAGCGAGGGCCCTGGGATGGCCTGACCCGTCAGGAATGCTGACAGCAGGGGCTGGCTCAGTTACCAAAAGGGGAAACAAAGGCACTCCAGGGCTTCCCTGGGGCTCGCACCTTCCTGAGGTCTTCAGTCCCCCTGGAGATGGAAGGGAGGTGGCCGAGTGGCCTGTGGCGCAGGGCTCCCTTGCTGTTCCTTGCAACCTGGGGGGTCTCTGACTCTTGGAGCTGAGTGACAGGTGGGGATTTTTGTCCCTCTAAGGGTCTTTGGATGATCGACTCCCAACTGACGCTCCAGGCTGGTATCTACAATACATGCTCTGAGGAAAGCTAGTCTGTGAAATGATGCATTAAAGGGTTCTGTTATGGGTTGGGAGTCCGAGTCCCTCTTGGGGAGAGCCGTGGTGCCGGGAGCAGCTGGAGGCCTCAGGGCGTGCTTAGCTTTGCTTCCCCAGCTTTGCTGACCCCAATAAGCTCTTCCCCACGTGGTACCTGTCAGCAGCGCAGCGGGAAGCTCTGTGTGTGTGAAACCACACAAGGGGTTCAGAGCTATCCTCAGGGCAGACCTGGAGTTTTTTCTGGTGTTCCTTAAAAGCATCTGATGAATATTGGGATTAATTTCCTGAAGAACTTGGAAGAGAGTTTCTCTCTCCTTTCTGAAAACTGAACGTTCAGATCAGCACATGATAGGAATCTGGATGGCGGAGAAGATTTGGGTCAATCTCCCCAGTGCCCCAAATCCAGTGAAATGACAACAATTTTTTTAAAAAATTAAGTGTATTGTTTTTAAAAATACATCCACAAGTTTCTGACGATCTCCCTCAGTTTATCCTCCCCTTCAGCATGGTCACTCATGGTCACTTGTTTTTAATGAGTAGGAAGCGACTGGGGTGGCCGTGGGTGGCTTCTGTTGGCATGTGGTTTCCTGCTTGCTCTTGGATGCTGCACTCTGGAGAAGCTGGCTGCCACATCTGCAGGACACTTGCGCAGCTCTCTGGGGAGGTCTGAGGCCTCTCCCAGCAATGCTGCTGGCTGAAGGTGTGTGGAAGCAGGTCCTCCAGCCCCAGTTGAGCCTTCAGATGATGCAGCCCTAGCCGTCACCTTGAGGGCAACCTCAGGAGAGCCCCAGCACTGCCCAGCTAACCCAGAGACCACAGGTGAGAATGTATGTTCCTGTTGTAAGGCACAAGTTTCAGAGCAGTGTTACACAGCGTAGTAACTGGTGTCTAAGTGTGACTCCCTAACCATAGTGCTCACCTCCACTCAAGAAAGTGCTGATGGTGGATCAGACATCTTGAGAAAGAGAAACTAATGGAACAGACGTCTGAGAAATAGGAGTAGAGCTGTCCTAGTCAGGCAATGCCTGGCCTTGGAATGGATGGGGAAGGATGGAGGCAGGCAGGTGGGATCGTAGCGGGGGGTGCATTCTGTCCCCACTCCCCAGGCTATGCAGACCCACTGGGCAGAGGCTGCTGGCCTGCTCTCCCCTCTTGCATGGTGCCCGGGGCACCAGGCTCATGGGGTGCACTCTGTTAGTGGGCAGGTTAGAGGGACTAGGAAGGAAGACCTCTTGTCCCAGGCAACCTGCAGAGGCAGGGAGCCCCGGGGGGAGGCCCTGGGAGGAGCCCTGAGGGAGGGCTCTGGCTCCGCATCCATCTGGAGCTTTGCCCCGGATTGCCGTTCCCGTCTTCCCAGGATTCCGACTCTGTGCTTCGAAATGTTGTGACATGATCTCTTCTGTTGTCTTAGTTGGGGCTCTTTCTGTTGCAAGTGACAGAAGCCCAATGTGAAGGAGCCTGTGCCCGGGGGCTTCTGCCCTGGGGGCTCCTGAGGTGCAGCCACCGCCCTTGGTCCCTGCTGTGCTGCTTTCTGCAGATGGCTTTGTCTCTACTGCCAGCAGGACGTCTGCTCACCGTGGGACATGTGTAGACACAGTGTTGACGTCTTAAAGCCTTAATTCTCATTCCGCTATGCAGAGGAGTGACTTCAGCTGCCAACTCTGGCTCCCAAGGCTCCAGGAGAGGTTCTGTGGGACTAGACCCGGGTCAGCGGCTCTGATGGGCACAGGATCGTGCGATGCAGGCATGGCTGTCGGCCAAAGGGCTTCTTGTGCTCAGGCTGCTGCCGGCTCATGTCCAGGTCATTTCTCCCACGCCACAAATCCTGCTTGCCCAAAGTAAAAATGGAGCTTGTAAAGTTAGCACGGTGGACATTTGTGCACTTATGGGACAGAGAAGGCTTGAACTTCATTCCGAGGGGAAAGAAGCCAGCCCTGGCGTTATTACTCTGTTAGATAAGCCTGTGTCTCTCTGGGGTTTACAAGTATCTTCACCCCATCGCAGGTGACCAGGAAGGACTTCTGGGCCTCACCCGCCTCACTGCCACAGTGAGTCCCTAGTACTGGTGAGATGACCTGTGGGTTGGGTCACGGGTTCCTGGAGTGCTCTGCCTGCTATGATGCGTGAAGTTCTTCTATTCACCATGTCTTCAGTGAAACTCGGTCCCACAAGCCCCCCCGGGAAAGCTGGTTTTGTCCCGAGTGCCGAGATGCATAGTGGCTGGTCGGTTCCTCAGGATGCCACAGTCCGGTAAGGAGAGCAGAGGGTGCAGCAGCCCTTATGGCTGGGTGAGGGGTATGGGGACTCCGGGCAGGGACAGCTGCTCAGAGAGAGGGGTCAGGACAGTCATGACCATCGGGTGGATGGCTGAGGCAGGATGTCACTGCAGGCTCATTGTCCCTAGTCCTGGCCAGACTTGCTGTGACCACCTGTCTGGGCCCTGAAGAGGGCAGAGGAATTGCTCAGGTGGGGCCAGGGCACAGGGCTGAGGCCTGCAGTCAGGCCGTGCCAGTTTGCAGAGAACATCCGGGGCACCCCTGAGCAGGCGGCTCTTCTGAATCGTTCGTGTTCTGCTCTCTGTTTTCTGCCTTGGGAAGTGATTATTTTTCAACACGATCTCTTAAATGCGGTGGGGGCAGGGCACTAGAAGCATCCAGGCATGAAGACAGCCCCCAGGTCAGCGGGGCTGGGGGAGTTGGGCTGGGCGGGGGCTGCAGAGCAGGAGGCTGTGCTCCCATCACGGTCTGTCCCTGGCGTGAGCAGCGCTGGTCGTGACAGTTCTGGGGTGGAGCTTGCTTTTCGACGGAAGCCACTCTCCCCGGGACGTGCCTGCCTGCCTGCCTTTATTATTATAGTTTAATGTCTCAGCCTGCCTGCCTTTATTATAGTTTAATGTCTTTCATTGTCCATGTTAAAAATGCTTGTGTTTATTTTGCACCAACTGTTCAAAAAAACCCACCCATTCTAACATCCAAATAGGATTTCATCTGAGTTATACAACAGCCTGGCAAAGGGCAAGTCAATGAAATCAATATAATCTGCCCTAGCGTCCGTGTATTTTCCAGCCTGCTCCATTGCTAATCACTCCTGAAGCTGCCTGGGTGCCCCGGCTTTACTGATTGCCTCTGCAGAAGAATGTGTGTGGGGGGGTCCCCAAGGACACAAGGACGTCACTGGCAGGACCGGAGACAGAGGCACGCTCTCCAGAGGCCTGTCCTGCTGCTGCTGCTGAGCAGGACTTCGGGCCAGCGGCCACCTATCATGACATCGAAGCCGGCCCCAGAGATACCAGGACCGAGGCCCCAGGGCGGCATCGCCTGCTCCACCTCCGCAGAGAGACGTCCCTGTGAGCTTGGGGTGTGGAGCAGACCAGGGAGGAGCCCTCCGTAGATGCCCTGGGCTTGGAGGTGTCGGCATGGATGAAGGCTCAGATGGAATCACCCCAGTTCTGCTGCTCCAGTAGCTGTGTGGCTGTGGGCAGGTTCTTCAAGCTGTGCCTCAGTTTCCTTGTCTGTAAAGGGGGATGTCATGTACCCTCAGAGCAGGGTTGAGGTGAGGAGTCCACCAGAGCCTGTCTGTGAGGTGGAAGGGCTTGAATAACGTCCACTAAAAGCTCATGTCTGCTCGGAACCTGGGAATGTGACCTTTTTGGAAATGGTCTTTGCAGATGTGATTAAACAGGGGTTGGAGATGGGATCATCCTGGACTAGGGTGGGCACTAGATCCAAAGACTGGTGTCTCTGCAGGAATAGAAGACAGAGACACAGGAGGCGGCCACATGAACACAGAGGCAGACTGGGGCCTCGCGGCCGAAGCCAGGAGCACCGAGGACTGCCACGGTCACCATGGAGAGAGGCCTGGGACAGACACCACTGCAGAGCCTCCAGAGAACGCAGCCCACCCGCAGCTCGCTCAGCCTTCTGGCCCCTGAGCTGTGAGAAGATGCAGTTCTGTTTTAAGCTGCTCTGTTTGGACACCTTGTTACAGGAGCCCCAGGAAGCTACTCAGTGGGCGTTTGTGGTTGGCCACCGATCATTCCCAAGATCATGTCCCCATCCTAAGCCCTGGGACCTGTTCACGTGACCTGTTGTGGAAAAAGGGCTTTTGCAGATGTAATTAGCTTAAGGATCTTGAGATGAGAAGATTATTCTGGATTCCCGTGGGCCCCAAATACCATCTTCAGTGGCTCCGCCAGAGATTTGGCACACAGAGGAGGCTGTGTGACCAGAGGAGAGACCGCAGCGATGTGGCCACAAGCCAAGGGCACCGGGAGCCCCCAGAGGCTGGAAGAGGAGAGGAAGGAGCCTCTCTAGGAGTGGCCACCATCAGCAGCCACCAAAACGGGGAGGGAATCAGTTCTGTGAGTGTCTGATGGCAGCCTCAGGAAATAGGCACAGTTTCCCATTCGCAGCCTGGCCTCTATCCCCATCTGGGGGTTTCCCCACAGCCTGGCCTCCCCCCATAGCCCAGGGTCTCCCCACAGCCAGGTCTCTCCCCATATCCTGGGGTGTTCCTGCAGTCTGGCTTCTCCCCACAGCCTGGGGTCTTCCTACAGCCTGGTATCTTCCCATAGCCTGAGGCCTTCTCACAGCCCGGGGTCTCCCCACATCCTGGGGTCTCCCCACAGCCTGGGGCCTTCTCACAGTCTGGGGTCTCCCCATATCCTGGGGTCTCCCTGCAGCCTGGGACCTTCTCATATCCTGGGGTTCCCATATCCTGGGTCTCCCCACATCCTGGGGTCTCCCTGCAGTCTACCCATGGTGCCAGGGCAGCTCTTCCTCCTGACAGGCGTGAGGGGCCCTGGGTGTAGAGAATAAACTCCACCCATCGGATGCGAATTTCAGCAGCCCTGGGTTGGGTGAGTTTCCTGGAGCTGTGGCTGAGGGGTCAGGGGTGCAGTTCGCTGACTCTCCAGCTCAGCACACCCAGGGAGCTGGCGGGGTTCCCTGACACAGGGCAGCAGGTGGAGGCTGAGACAAAGGCTGAGCCAGCCGGGGGCTCTAGGGAGACACGCACCAGGCCCACTCCACAGGCAGCAGGACCCCAGGCTCACTGTGGGCATTTGAGGAGTGGGTGTCAGGGCGGCCAGAAGCAGCCAGGGTGGAGGTCGTGGGGGATCATCTCGGTGGGCAGAGCCTCGGGGCCCTGGGGTGGAGGGAGTGAGGCTGGAGAGCCTGGCTGGCTGCGCTGGCAGGATAACGCCTAACACGGTCCCGGAGATGGCGCTTCTCCCACGGACAAGGGGAGGTAACGCGGGAACAGACTGTAATCAGGTTCCAGGTCCAATAAAGGTGAACCTCGAGGCGGAAAGGACCTAGCTGCAGGTGAGCGCAGTCCTCCATGTGTGAGTGCATGTGTGTGTTGTATGTGTAAGCGTGTGGCCCAGAGCCCGTCCATGGCAGCCCATTGGTGGGTCCGGCCCTGCCTGCAGATTCAGCTTTCCACTGCAAAGCAATATGCAGTGTGTGAAAAGGCAACACAGATCCGTGGCACCACCATGAGCCTCAGTGTTAGATTTGGAATGGAATCCCTCCCTCCCTCCCACTTTAAACTGTGAGTCCTTGGAAAAGTTACCTGACCTTTCTCATGTTCACATTCTTACCTGTAAACCCTCCCGGAGTTGAAATGAGCCGTAAGTGAAACACCGTGTGGCAACGGGGGTGGGGATGGGGGAGGCGCGCAGTCACCCTCGCCTTCCTTTTCCTTTTCTTGGTAATTGTGTTCTTCTATGTCAAAGGAAAAGAATAAAACCCGAAAATTATTTGGGGGAAAAAGAAAAAGACACACATGCAAGTGCCACAGGAAGCTGTGGGGTTCGGCCTGCAGGGGAGACGCTCTGTGGTGTTCGGTATGTCGGTGGGGTTCGGCCTGCAGGGGAGAGACGCTCTGTGGTGTTCGGTAGGTCGGTGGGGTTCGGCCTGCAGGGGAGACGCTCTGTGGTGTTCGGGAAGTCAGTGGGGTTCGGCCTGCAGGGGAGAGACGCTCTGTGGTGTTCGGGAAGTCAGCCCTCAGTACAGCAGTTGTGGGAGCCTCTGTGGTTCCGGATCCACATCAACTAGAATTCTATGTTCCAGGGAAAACTGCTTTCAGTGCTGACTTATACTCAACACTGCAAGGCCATCCATGGAGCAGAGTAAACATCCCATCCCATCATGCCCCACGCCCTCCAGAACATCCCATCCCATCATGCCCTGCGCCCTCTAGAACATCCCGTCCCATCATGCCCTATGCCCTCTGGAACATCCCGTCCCATCATGCCCCATGCCTTCTGGAACATTCTGTCCCATGCCCCACGCCCTCTGGAGGGTGAGGGCTGCAGGGCCGGCATCTGCCTAGCCCGTGGCAGCCTCAGCCCTTAGACAGCAGCCCTGGTCGCCAGGAACCCACTGGGCAGAAACCCATCCAGTGACCATTGGCAAAGCAGCAGTTCCTCTGCAGGGGCTTTTATGTGTTGGTTTCTTTGGCACCTTCCAATAGAAACAGAATGGGAGCCACAAATGGCGCCACATACGTATAACTTAGTTTTCTAGTAGCCACGTTAAAAACGTTCAAAGGTCATCTTAATTTTAATAATATGTTTTATTTAATCGACTGTATCCAAAATTACTATCATTTTAACAGGTACTCACTATAAAATGATTAATGAGATCTTTTATTCTTTTAGAAGTGTTTCATGAAGTCTGTGCAGCAGCACGTCTCAGGTAGGACCTGCCACGCTCCCCGTGCTCTGCAGCGGCCCACAGCCTGGATGGCACTGCGGTGTAGACACTGAGCTGTGGGCAGGACTCTTCCTGGTCCTCGTGGCTGAGCACACAGTGCCGGGCCGTGCACGCTGGGGTGCCGTGGGCCGGGCTGGTCCTGGCTCTGCACTGTCCCTGTGACCCTCGGGATGTTGCTCAGCCTGTTTTGGCGATGGTTCCTTTCCTGTAAGGTGCGCGGCCGAGAACATCTGCTGCTAGGAGGACCACGTGAGTTCATTTCAGTTGGGTGCAGCGCCCGCCTAGTAATCTCAGTGACCCTCGGTCGCTCAGCCAGTGACTGTGGCCACCTGACACCATCAGAAGATGGCGGACTTGGGGGTCAGGAGAGCCCTTCCGGGACTGCAGAAGCTGGTCCTTGGGGGTCTCGCAGCAGATCCCGGGGGCGTTCCCTGTGTGAGTGCAATGCACATGGGGGGCTCAGGACTGGAGGCCCATGCCAGCCCTGGGGCCTCCAGAGCCGGCAGAAGGCACAGCCCTGCATGGCCAAAGGTGCTGGGCTGCATGGAGAATGTGCGGGTTCTGTTGTCCTGCCAGCTTAAGCGGTTTATCAAACCAAACACAAAAAGGATGTGCAACAGGGACAGCATGTGGCCCAGGAGGCCTCAGATATTGACTCTGGCCCTTCACAGAACACGTGTTCTAGAAAGGAAATCCTAGCTCCGGGGCTGGGGGCTTGCTGGGTGGGGAGAGGGGTTTAGAACACGGTTTGTCACTTCCTGTGAGGGTGACCCCATAGGACTTTGTGGAGACGGTGGCATTTAAGTGGTCCAAGAAGAACTGGAAGGATTTAGAGGAGCAGAGGGACCCGCCCCGGTGGGCGGAAGTCATGGCTGGGTGTCGCAGGCTCTGCGTGGCTCTGAGGGCGGCTCCAACTCAGGCTGGCGTGCCCCATGTTTAACGGCCATTGAGTCTGCAAGTTATAAACTTGGTTACCCCCAGAACGTTGTTAAACAGTACTCTGTTCTAGAACATGCTGAGATAGCATTTATGCAAGGGATGCCAGGGTGTGGAACGGATTAGTCCGGCGTTCTCCTCAACAGTCCAGGAAGAGGACAGGGAGAAGGCAGCATCGCTCCTAAGCGGGTGAAGCCAATTTCATCCTGAGTGACGGTGACAGTAATAACTGATAAGAAATGAAATCACAGCTTTTTACACGCAGAGTCTGACAAATGGCTGACCCTTCTTCCTCCATCTCTGGGTGCTCACGCTGGAGCGCGAGGGGCCCTCCCTCCACTCCTGGGTGCGCGTGCTGGAGGGCGACAGGCCCTCCTTCCAATCATTGTTGCTTCTGCTGGAGAGCAAGGGCCCTGCCTCCATTCCTTGGTGCAGGTGCTGGAGGGTGACGCCGCCACCCCCCCCCACTCCTCTTGCTCCTGCTGGAGAGTGACAGGCCCTCCCTCCAATCATTGTTGCTTCTGCTGGAGAGCAAGGGCCCTGCCTCCATTCCTTGGTGCAGGTGCTGGAGAGTGACGCCCCCGCCCCCCTCCCCACTCCTCTTGCTCCTGCTGGAGAGTGACAGGCCCTCCCTCCAATCCTTGGTGCTTCTGCTTGAGAGCGATGGGCTCTCCCTCCACTCAATGTGCGTGCTGGAGAGTGACAGGTCCTCCCTCCATCCCTAGGTGCTCATGCTGGAGCGTGAAGGGCCCACTGTCCACTCCTCGGTGTACGTGCTGGAGAGTGGCAGGCGCTCAGCCTTCTTAGGGTGTTTGGGACCCCATCCAGCGTGGTTTTGCTCTAGTTCCCCACCTGGGGAGAGGAGCTCAGCAAGCAGCACTGGGTTTATTCTTGCTCATTTATTCAAAAGAAAGCTACTGAGTTTGAAAATGCAACAAGCACTGGAGAGAAAAGGTGAGAGGACCTCGGGGCTGCCTGTAAGAGGCTCAGGATGTGGCTGGGGGTGAGGCCCGCTGGCAACTCCAACGCAGGAGATGAGGGGGTCTGGATCCCACCGTCGGAGCACCCACGCAACCTGTCCGCACCCTCAGGACGGCAGAAAAGGTCCATTCTTGTATTTCTTTTTAAGTTGAACTAAATCCATCTCTAGTCCCTGCCTCGGAACTGATGGAGCCTGGCTGTTACTGGGCCTCCCCACCTACAAGGGATGGAACCAGAGCTTGGGGCTGAGGTGCTGCTGGAGTGTTTAGTGCCTCTGCTATCAGGACATCCTGTGGCCACTGGCACGCTGTCTGCCCACACAGTGCCCCCAACCAGCAGCACAGCCACCCTCTCTCCACAGCCAGGGCTGGGAGCCCTGGGGCCCGACTCCCCGGTCCCACATGCCTCACAAGGCAGGACATTCTGGGTCCTGTCGCATCCCCGGAATCAGGGCCTGGACCCTGGTCAGAGCAGGACCTGCAGACGACCCCGGGTGGGGCAGACTGTCTTCTGTCCTTGGTGGCAAAGCCGGTGTTCTTGGCGTCATGTCTGCACGTATGTGTCTGAAGCCACGGGAACGCAGGGGCTACCTCCGGGCCTGCGCCTGTGGAGCAGGATTGGGGAGGACACACGGGTGGGCGTCTCAAGAACTGTTGTGACACAGCGGAGCCCCTGCAGCTCTGCTCTGTTGGGCCTTGCCCTCGGTGCTGGGTGCAACGTGTGACAGGATGGCACGGGAAGCTTCCCAAGAACGCTGGAACTGGGCGTTTGAAGACCTCATGGCGGCAGCTCCAGCCCAAGCGCTGCAACTACGGGGCTGTGCCAGGAGCAGGTGCCACGGAGCCTGTGTGGGTCCAGGGCGAGAGGTAAGGGGAGTATGGATGGGGCTGTGCATTCCTGGGGTTGAAGGCAGGCTTCAGGGGGTGACACTGAATAGGGACTGGGAAGGTGCATGCCAGGAGGGGTCCAGGCAGAGACAACAGGTGGGGGCACGATCCTCGAGGGGAGGCAGAAGAGGTTGGCAGTGTAAGGCAGGACAGCGATGCCCACGGGCTCCAATGCCTGCTGCGCAATCGGAATTTTGTCTGTGGCCTCAGGCGTCTGACATGCATTCTCACACCTGCATGAGCACCAGGAGCCCCTGGAGGGCTGTGCAGACGACACTGTTGGGCCGGCCCAGGCCCCAGCAGTTCTGACTCCTCTGTGATCAGAGGGTGGGGTTAAGGATGTGCATTTCTGACAAGCTCCCAGGAGACCCTGGCACTGCTGCTTTGGAGACCCCACTTTGAGGACCACTGATCTAACACTGCCCTTGTGGCAAACACGGAATGACTCTAAGATTCAGCTGGATGGATCATTCAGGGAGGAAATTCACCTTTGCCACCGGGCACACCCTGGCCGTTCAGTAACCATGGCCATCAGGGTTACTGACTTTTTCATTCTCCACTGCATTCCAGAGTGGGCATTTCCACAGTAGTGAGCCCATCATCAACTCAGCGATGTTCCCATTTTCCAGTTAGAAAATAAGTTTTCTGATGGTTACCCATCCACTGTACTCGGCTCTAGAAAAGATTTCAGGGATGTGTAATTTATGTTTAACATAAAGAAAAGCTGAGTGTAAACTAGGTAAGTTACAATTGTCCCAGACATTATAGACACTCACAGCATCGTTTTCCTCCTCTAGCAAAACAAAACAAAAAATGTTGCAATCATATAGGCAGTAGGAAAAAAAAAATTAGCAGGACACCATGGCTCACACCTGTAACCCCAGCACTTTGGGAGGCCGAGGTGGGAGGATCACTTCAGGCCAGGAGTTAGAGACTGGCCTGGCAACATAATGAGATCCCCATCTTTATAAAATTAAAACAATCTGGGCATGGCGGAGCACACTTGTGGTCCTAGCTATTCAGAAGGCTGGGGGCGGGGGGGAATCGTTTGATTGCAGGAGGTTGAAGCTGCAGTGAACCATGTTCGCACCACTGCACTTCAGCCTGGATGACAGAGTAAGACCCTGTCTCAAAAAAAAAAAAAAAAGCAAGAACTGAGGCAATGATGCTGTCACCGGGCCTGGCCTCATGCCAGCAGCAATGGCTGTGAGTGCGGTTCAGAGGGAGGGTGGGTTTAGGTTTACCGGCTTACCAGGGAACCTTGATCTCTGTTTCTAATTTGCTGGGCTCATGTCTAGTTGGAACCTGGGCACTGTTGTCTGCTTTTATGCACAACTGGCTGGGGACAGCTCTGAGCCACGGGCCTAGAAAGGACAGGCTCCATAATCCACTGGCAAACCCCGCAAGATGCCTGCAGTGAGGTGCCAGGTTTGAGCGGAGGAAGAGCCTTGCATCTCATCCCTGAAGTCAGATTTGAAGGAAGACCCTCAAGGTGAAGGGCTTCTAATTACATCTTCAGCTTTCTGGGCTTAACAATAGTTTCATTTTTCTTGTTGAAAAGAGAGATTTTGAAACTGCCTTGGTGTCCAGCTGTCCTTTTGGCTGTCTCACCTCTTTTTTCTTTTAACGCCAAATTAACCTAG